CCATCAGCCATTTTTATGCTTTTTTTAAAAAAAAACAGACTCCACCTTTGTATTATGTGACTTCCCAGTACTTTACAGAATTTAATTCAGATGAACCAGCTGATGTCACACTTGTGATCCACAACAACTTGTATAAACCTATAAAGAACAAGTTAGCTTCTTCTGTAACTGTGAATTACAATTATCACTAGAATTCTATGAAACTCACTCCATACCATGTTTTCTTCTACAACCAGAAGGATTTGCTTATCCATCTTTCATTAATCATCATCATCATCATCTTAGAATTGAAGAGCTGGAAGGGACCCTATGGATCGAGTCCAGCCCGTCAAGGAGGCACAGTGGGGAACTGAACTCCCAACCATACCTAAAGCACTGAGGTATCCAGCAGTTCATCCCATTGATTTCAGTGAGATTTACTCCCAAGTAAGCAAACATGGGTCAAAACCCTTTTGCAGTGTTACTCAAAAGGCGTAACTTTTAGAAGTGAAGTTAAGAAACATTTATAGGTATTATCTGTGGAGTTGTGCAACTTGGTACTCAACAGATAACGCCAACAGGACTATAACTTACAGCAATTTGCTTCTAAAATTATGCATTTTACATACAGTATTTAAAAGTAAAAGAAGGTAAAAGGAGTTCTGGGAATCTGCATGTTAGGTTCTGTGAGCTTTACTTCTCAAATCGCTACTTCTAAGCTTGCAAAAACGCTTACACTTGTGGGTCAGAATCCTACTGATGTTCATGTATAGTTTGTGTAACTTGCTGCGGCAAATTGACTAGCTGCCAAGGTTCATTTTAGCTCAGTGGTTTAGGTATTTGGCTGTGGAGCCAGAAGCTGGGAGTTCGATACCCCACTGTGCCTCCTTGACAGGGGCTGGACGTGGTGATCCATAGGTTCCTTTACAGCTCTGCAATTTTCATATTATGATTACAGTAACTGAGCAACAGAATTTCTGCTGTGAGATTAGTCTCAGTCTGCAAGTTTATGCACAATTTCCTATGAATAAATCCAACTCAATGCAGCCCTCTACAATCTTAGGAGATGGGAGATGTGTGCCATAAGGACTGCACCATGGGGGGAAAGTGTCAACACACAAACTTCATTACTATCACTTCGCTACTTCAGACAATTAGAAATATGTATCACAACCCAAATAGTAATCTCTGGTTTAGCTCTACAAAGGGGGGAAATGCTATATGGCATCAAAGAAGATACAATACAAATGTATAAATGCTAAGATGCTTAAGCATTTAGGACTCTAACTTGATTCACCAGAAAAGCTCTAAGGGATTTTCAAATCAAGCTCCCCAAACAAGCTAGAACAGGTTACTTGGAACTTCCAACACTTATTTTCATTGATGGAGCTGAGCCGGAAAGTTTTCAGAGCAAGCATTTGCAATTACAGAAGGTGGCAAATATCTTCACCTACTTTTAATATACTGTAAATCATATCTGACTTAGAAGCTGCAATTTGTTAATTATGACCATCCACTCACGCATCCACTGCTGCCTCTGGCTCCACGCTCCCTTCCAATCACTCTGGAGCTTGCGGTCGGCTATCCACTCATCAGCTTGGCAGAAAGACTTGTCTTCCTTCCTTCTGCCAGGAATGGGTAATTGACTGTGAGCTATGGAGAGATTAGGAGAGCAGAGCCAGCGGTGGCAGCGGACGCATGAGTTACGTCCAGCTGTGCAGGGGTATTCATATTCGTATACAAATACCCCCATCTCTAGTTTTAAAAACAATTAAGAGAGATATGAAAAAATTAGCCCTGAAAATGAAAGTGCTTTTAAAAAGGAGGCTTGAACAAGTTTACTATAGTTGTTCTGAAACAATTAGTCAGCTCTCTAGGGAAGCAAGGTCATTGAACAATAACATCCTGACAGGTGAACTGTTTATGTTACAGTTTATAAATATGGAGGTGGTGTTTGCAGGTCTTATGGTTTCCACTGTCAATAATTAAAATATTCTAGCCTTCCAGGATTCTGAATTTTCATATCTTTTATGCTACCTACCCAAACTCTGTAAAAATTTTCAGCAGAACAATTATGTTATCAGCATTGTGGCAGCTTGCCAGATTCTAAGCCATAAACTTTTGGAGTTCCAATAGATGCAACAATTAAAACTCCCATTAATTTTTTTCTCTTGGAGATAAGACCCCTGGATCTGCAGGCCTCTGCAGAAATAGATTATTTACAGACAGGGGGAAGGTGTAAACTGAAAGAATTGTAAATATAGGAAGACAAGAGACACAGACATAAAGGCATTTAGGAATTTAACCCATCATTCCAAGGCAGCTCAATGCTACGCTACAAACACTAGATTGCAACAATAGTCCTCACAGATTTTCTTCTATAGATGCAGATTGGCAAAAGGCTGGCTCAGCTAAGTGATAATAGCATTTAGAATTTGTGTGCGCATATGTGTTGTTAATACATATGCTTAGAAGTCAATGAAGTTATTTTTATATATACAGTATATTCTTAGTTTTAAAAATTTTGGTGTTTTGGAGAAGTATTCTCTGCCTTTTGCTGTTCTGATGTTGTTTTTTAGACTATGAACTCTTGCATTTTAGAATGTAATTGAAACCTTTTTTTACTCTTCAAAATATGCTCCTGTGTTTGGGATGGATTTCTGTTTAAGCATTTGCACCTATAGTTTTCTTCATAATTTCAACTTTTGTGTTTTCACAAAAACTCTGAAGTATTCTGTGCTTATGGGACATAGAAGCAATGTAGAAATAAAACTTACAGTGTTGCCTCGCTTAACGTTTGCTTCGTTTAACGTGAGTTATTGCAACAATGAAAAGAATTACACCTGGATACTCAGATGAATTTTGATACAATTGTCAATTATTGTTTGGTTTCATTTTGCAATTAATTCTTTATTAGGATAAATGGCAGCTGTGATGAACACAGGCTTCTGAGTTTTCCATAGAAGTCTATAACGTTCTTCGGGACACATCAGAGGTCAAAGCCCTGACCTGACACCCACTCCATGTGGTATAAAATATATTCTGCTACAGTCCTATACATATTTACATGGGAGTAAATCTCAGTCAATGGGAGAGGCAGGAGGCTTTGACAGTAAGAGATTAGGCAATTTTATATATAAGAAAGAATCGGTCCAGCCAATAAACACATTTGTGATAAGGACTGTTCTATTTTCTCATCAAGTAATGGTCAATTAGTTCTGCAATTTTTATCAATTAAACCCATTATACAACCCCTATAAAACAAATATATTCCCCAAAAAGCATGCTGTTATTAGATGATGCACGTCACAGCAGGTCTCCTCTCAGAACCAGCCTTCCCCTCAGCGAAGAAGAGAAAGGACATCCTCTTTTAACATGATGGCCTCTAAAACAGTCTAAATAATCAGCTACATGTTGCACAGAAAGCTTCAAACTTGCTATTCTTTACTAAATATTAATGTGTGAAACTGCACCTTTTTGGCAAACAGATTTTTTGGGGATTTATTATAGAGCCATACAATTCCTTTCAAACTTCTGTACCATGTGAAGACAGTATAGACAAAAAATGATTAATACTTCAGATGAACAGCTTCAGGTCAGCCAAGTAGTACTTCTGTGTGCAATTCAATCAAATTAAATAGTTAAATATAAAATGCCAACTGCCACTAACACATAGTTTTATAGGAAGTGTTAAATTCACGGGGGTGAGGGGGAAACTAATTAACTAGCTATTCCTACAGAGATTTTAAATTTAATTTCATCTTCAAATGGAATAAAGGAAATATGTGAAGCAACAAGATGTCATGAACATTTCCTGCATCCCAGAATTTTGGTTGGTCAAACAATGCCAGACTACATGGAGCCTGAGTTTTGTATATATAACAATAACTGTGTGCTATCAAATCAATGCCAACTTAAGGCAACCCTTTTCAAGGGTTTCTAGGTAGAGTACTCAGAAGTGGTTCGTAATTCCATCCTGCTGGGGGCATCCAGCAACTGTTCAGCTTGCCCAAGGTCACATTACCTGGCTCTTCTGGAATACACAGTGGGGAAATTAAATACACACCTCTGGTTCCACAGCCAGATGCCTAACTTACTAAGCTATCCAACCAACTGCTAGTTTTGTATATATACTTCCTCTTTCTGCCCTGTATCAGCAGTGGTGGGTTTAGTACAGCTCCTACTGTGTCCAATTTTAAGTGTTGCTTACCAGCCAATTATATATAATGAAGTACTGCACTTCAATTAATACTCTAACACAGGCTCTAATTTCAGTTTTCTTAGTACCAAACAGGTCAGCCCAATCATTGTTGATGCAAGACAGCAGGACAAAAACAAATGAAATGAAAAACGAAATTCACTGAAGGGAATAGTGATGACATAATGTGGTTATGACAGATTATTAAAACTGTATAAAAATGTAGATAACAGCTCAGACCTAGGGAGCAATACTCTCTCAATAGTATTCTACTGACCAGAATGACTACTTCAGCTAAAAACAAGGAATGCTGTGACACCTCAAAGGCTAACTAGATTTTGTGAATGGCATCTAGTATGAAGTCTATCCCCTTGCTCCACAGGATTCTTTGGGTTTTTGGGATTGTTTATTTTATTTTATTAAACATTTTTGCTGCAGTACACTAATCTGCCACCTACTTTATATATTTATGCAGTTATTGTCTCCCAAACAAGCTTGAACCTTGACACTTCAAATTTCAAATTAGCAACTTCTTCTGGTTTTGCCCTTCTTACCAACCTCTGTATTATAGAAGCTTGACAGCAGAACTAGATTGTCTCACAAATTAGAAAAACACAGCTTTCTCACCCATCACTCATTCTCCACCTCACTCTTTCTTATTACACTGTCTTGATTCAGAAACCTCCTGCTCATCTTCTCCAGGAACTAGCCTATCAGAATCTTAATTAAAAACAGAGGTAATAACCCCAACTTTAGGATGCTGTTAAAAGATAACACCACCACCCCTCCCCATGATTTAAAAAACACTATTCTCTCATGTAAATTCAAGCAAAACTATACATTTATTCCAGGATAGCTAAGAATATTCCTATTATACAAATACAGTATAAATTCAGAAGTCACAAAATAAAAAAGTACAAACTTCATTACTTAATAAATATTTCTAGTCATTTTGATTTAACTGGAAATTAATATGGGTGGTTTCAACCTTGAATGTTTGACCCAGCAAACCATACAAACTTGGTATAAATACATTTTTACATAATACCAGAGTACGCCCATTATTAGCCATTAGAAAACCTCTAAAGAATAAAATGTGATAAAACAGACCTAGTGGTGCACCATCAGAAGGCAAGCCGGAGGCATGTATATCAATAAAAAGAACAAGAACCACAAATCGAGGCCATTCTTAAGAAAACATTTCTTCATCTCCTTGATATTCTAAACCAGATTTGTGTTGCTTGTAAATGAATACCGGAAAGAAAGAAAATGGCACCTACTAGGCAATTAAATTAAAAGCCCCCTTACTCTAGAAAACAGTTGAGTCAATAATTGTTCTCTGTACCATTCTTGAAAAAGCCATTTTCAACTGTCCTTTTTAAAAAAACAATTAACCTTGAATGTTGCCAGCTTATACTTAACTGCACATTTTAAAATTAGTTAAATGTTAAACTCAAAGCAGCAAGAAATTATTTGATCTCTTCTAAGACAGAAAAAAAACCAGTGGGCTACAACACCTTTCCACCCTCCCCTTTCATATGATATAAGGATGGGATGGAAGTTTCAAATCCCAGCAGAAAGGAACTGTTAGGCCAAAAGCCGTATTAGCCACAATAAGATAAAATATTTTAGTTTTGTTTTTCAAAACTGTGCCAACAAAAGAAAAAAAGGGGGAACAGAATCCCTTACAGAACAAAGTGTATCGGAAAAGAAGAAACAAACATATACAAAATAAAAGTAAATAGCCAGGAATCTGATAGCCTATACATAAGATATCTCAGTCTAGATTTGTTCTCCTCAAGTTCTTGCTCAGTTTAGGGCACAAACTGCTGGCTGGAGAACGATTAAGGCACCAAGACGACCAGCAAAGGATGGGGCGGTGGTCCATCTCAGGAGCAGGCATTCTGCTCAATGTACATCTTGGACAAAGAGACAGCCATGGACTTGGCTAACTCCTCGTCCCGCCTGCGCTGCACCTGAGTCTGCCTGCACCACTCCTCATACTCCGGATTGGGGCACTGGCAGTCGAGGACAGCATCGTAATGCCCGTTGCTGAGCCAACTCAGCCAGATGCTGCGCCGGCTGGGGTCCTCGGGGCCTAGGTAGTGGGTCATGGTGGAGACGGTGGGGCTCTCGGGCCTGCCTCCGGTGGTGAGGTGGATGTTGACGTCCAGCATTTGTCCCATGGCCAGCAGCTCCGGGTAACCGGCCCAGGCCCCGTCCTGGGCGGCGTTGATCAAGAATTCGCCCACGTCGCCCTCGATGAGGGGGCTGAAGTGATCCAGGTGGTCGGCGATGTAGTGCACCGTCTGCTCCCGGAGCTCGCCGTGCAACCGCTGGTCCCCGTTGACGGCCTTGCAAACGGCGCGGTACAAGCAGTTGCCGTCCGGGACGATGTGGAAGCGGAAGCGGCCCTTGTGCCGCAAGTACTTGTCCTGCTTCTCCACCTCGGCCAGGTACAGCGCCAGCTTTTCGTTGCGCTCCGTCGGGCGAACCTGGCCGAAGCTCCCTTCCTCCTCGGCGGCGCCCTCCAAGCCGGCCTCCCGGCGGCACCCGGAGCGTTCCAAGCC